TCCCAACGCTTCGACAACTGGGTCACTTAAATAAAAGAAAACACATATCAAAAAGAATACAGCCAACCAGAAGAGCAACTCCTAATCACAACCCCCCCCCCCTCAAAACCACGGGGACCTCACCAGCATCCTATCCTAAGGCCAGGAAAACAATTTCAAAATTTTAACAGGTTCCAGAAAGTCATTCAGATGGGAGCAATACAGATCGTCGGGGCAAAGTCATTCTGGAGGGCAGGGCCCACCCCCAAGAAGGCCCGCTTCCTGCAAGAGGACATTGTTGGATCAACGGGACCCGAAGTGTGCCCGCACTGCCTGGCCTCACCAGACAGACGGAAGCTGTGTGCCAACCCTTATGCCATGAAGGGCTTTAAAGGGGATACCCAGCACCTTGAATGGCGCCCTGCAGAGAGAGTTGACACACCCAAAAGCAAAGTGGCAACCTGTGCAGCTTGCCAAGCAGTGGGACACTGCTGATGAAAAAGGCGGGCATAGCACAACCTAGAAGCTGAACAAGCTGGACATCCCTTGGCGGGCACACATGCGCCTACTGTGACAAGCCCGTCCCTGCCAGTGCCACTGCATTCTGGACCAACTATAGCTTCCGGGTGGTGTTCAAGGGCAGCCCCACGTAGAGGGCATCGCAGTAGTCCAGTCATCAGGTGATGATTGGCTGTCTGAAGGGCCTTGGTTCTGGTGGGGTTTCTTCCTTGATAGTTTCTTGCTTAGGTATTGTTTCTTCCCTATTTATCTGGTGCTGTTTCCTGGTTATCTGGATGTTGCTGGAAAAGATGTTCTCCACGTTGTTTGTCTCCTTCCTTGAGTTTTGGTTATATCTTTGAAACGGGTCCTATCTCTATGGGCGGGTTGATGGCTGATTTGTCAGAATGCCAACCTTCCAGGAACTCTCTAGCATTTTTGGATCTGGCTCAATCGAAAACGTCAACAACTGGGGTTGAATTTATTAGCATATCAAGAGATTAAGCATTTTCATTGAATCTTCTGCCTACCAGAGACAGACTCTTTCAAACAGAGAAAAACTGGATCAGAGTCCCCAATGAGCTCCTGTAGCTGAGAGTGGATTCGCACCTGGGACATCCCATCCCTACTCAAGCACTGTATGTACGCATCAGGATTGTGCATGCATCAAGGATTGCAAAGAATTAGGGGAAGCATAGGGCCCACTGGTTGCTGGGCGTTTTGCTTTGAGTCTCAGTGGCCCTCTACTCCTCTTCCTACTCCTATGCAAAGGAGCGTGCCTACAATTACAGGAATATTGCATAAAATCAGGAGCGGAACACCTTTCCCGACTAACCAATTTCATTTGTGAAAGCTTATGCCTTTGAATAAAAGTGGTTGGCCAAAGAAGCATGTAATGGTCTGTGGGAATGACCCTGGGAGACAGGAGGAAGAGCCACAGACAGGACAACCAGCGTGTAAAAGGTGTCTCAGCCCACAGAAGGAAAAAGGGCGTGGGAAGCGTCTCAGAAGGGACCCTCCCGAGTTTTCCGGAGAGCAAAAGGAAAGGAGGGGAGAAATACTTTCAGTCTTGCAAGATTCTGTTCGTGTAACCTTACAATTAAAGATAGAGCTAGTACTTCTGGCTGTATTCCTTGTCTGGGCTACCTCAAAGATGCTACCAGACTCCTAATTTTTTGCCACCCAAAACTAACCCAGCTCTCCTCCTATACGGAATTTTGCACGTAGACAGTTTTTCAGCTGAGCCTAAAAACATTCCCAGCCAACCGCTGCTCCTGGGCCGTGTTCAGCCAATGCCACATTTCATGGACGAAGCAAGCAGCCTCGTGCATCTGTTTGTGAGGTCTTTGGCCAATTATCGAAGAAAGCCGCCGGCCATCGCAACTGCAAAGGCATATTAGCATCATTTGTCACCCAGCACAGTGGCCTTTACCCCCCTCTGCCGCGTTGGCAACGTTTCTGGGCTTAATTGCCAGAGACGAAAATCCTATGATTCACCAGTTCTCTGCTGAAATACCTGATCCCCGGACAAGGATTGGCAGTAAAATTTAGAACACAGCTGAAGGCAGGCACTTAAAAAATGATGAATAAAACAAAAGAGCAGGCTTGTCGCAGAGCGGAAGGTCAAAAACCCGGAGGGCTTTGTTGGTGGCAGACGGGGCAGAATTCAGAGGGATGTTCTCGGATTCTCCGTGTGAATGTTGGACAGGAGCGTGCATTTGGCAATTGGGAGGAAAAACAGGAATGGCCTTGGGGACGTGCCGTTCCCATACCGAATCCTCTCCGAGTGGTGAACTCAACTGAAACCCCTTGCAAAGGGAGTTTTTCTGCAAGTTTGAGAAAAATAACATGAAAAATGTCACCCCAAGCAGTGAGACGTGGGTTTCCAGCTGCACCTCAGCGCTGAGAACGTTTGCAGAATTCGGTTTTTGAGAATCCCAGCACAATCACACAGGGTAGAAGGTGGTTCTTTCGGTTTTGCATCCTTGTAAATGCTAAAATGTGGCTTGTATTTGGTTACGGCATGATTGGAATTGTTTTCCATCTGTCCTCTGGAAGGTCCAAGTGGCACCTTCCAAAAAGTTCTCAGCCTCTTCTCCCCTTGTAACCACTTTGTGGAGTAGGAGAGGTCCAGAATGGTTAGAACGTGTCCATGGAGAGCAAATATATTGGATGCGCACACATTTTGGGGCATTTCTTTTCTTAAATTGCAGATGGATGCACAAGGGGGTTCAGCAACCCTTACTCACAAACCCTTCTGAAAGGACATGGCAAGGTTGTCCCATCTGTAGCTCATGGCAGATTCTTCCAAGAATGCCCACCAAGAACATCTAATAGCTTTGCACGGTGTGATACTTGACGGATAAGTTGGAAAGTCTTCCAGTGGGCAGTCCCTCTAGAGTGGGGCGGGGGGCCAAGTTGCTGAAGGCGAGTTTGCAAACTTGCAAGGTACCAAACACTGTGGGAAGAGGATCCTTGTCTGTTAAGAGGCATTGGGAAGAGGGGCCTTGGCGGCATTCCAGTTGGATCTGCTCCTCCGACTGGGTTCGAGTAACCTCCCCCTTCCCCTTTCTTTGTTTTCTGCCCTTCAGGAATTGTTTGGCAAGCCATGATCCATACTGTGGCTGGACCCCCGAAGGATCCTGCATTTTTCTGGAACGGAACCCCAGGTATTCGAAGAGTTCGGATGGCGTTGCTGTGGGGCAGAGATGGGCGGAGAGAGAGAAGACAAAGTCTCTGGTTCCTTCTTAAAGGCCCATCGATGGCATGAGTTAGAAGGGAACTTAGAGATCACCTAGCCCAGCTCCTTTCTCAGTGCAGAAATCCACTAAACTATAATAGTTGACTATTCAGCCCCCCACACACATCTGAAAAGCCACTGATTCCAGGGAGAGGCAAACTGGGTTTATGACCATGTCAAGAAAAAGATGGTCTTTTACTGTCTTCCTTTTTTTTTTTTACTTTTTTACTGAAAAAACAGAGTATCCAGTTTAAAAAAAAACCCACACAGAATACAAAAGTTATTTAGTTATTATTATATATAGCGTTAGGTTATATGCAATTGTATTTTTATTTGTTGTTTTCATTTATTTTATTATTTATTGTTTTAATCAGTTGCAAGCCGCCCAGAGTCCCCCATTAGGGGGAGATGGGCGGGGGCAAATTTAATAAATAAATACATTAATTAAATTAATAAATAAAAGAGAAGGGAAATGAAAGAAAGGGAAAAGAAAAGAAAAAAACACCTGTGAATATATTCACCTTCATGAGAGGTACTTCACCAAGACTGTCTCTCCCGGTTCTAACGTCGAAGAATGATTGGACTTGATGTTCGTCAAAACCACCTCCGTGCGTGTAATTTTCTGATCCTAAAACAGGACTTTTTGTCTGAATAGCACAGGCAGGCTTAAGTCTGAAACCTTGTCTGGGCTGTCCAATATTTTCTTTGATTCAAGGATGCCCAGAATGGATTTGGGGGGGAAACGTGCTAGGAAAAGTGGGGAGGAGAGAACTCAAAGAAAGATAGGTGAAAAAAACCCGACCCCTGGCTTGATATTTAAGAAATCAAACTTTTCACCAGTTACTTATCCGCTTTGGGGATTCCACCCATCTTAAACTGGCCAAGGTTGAGAAACACTGTTCTATAAATCCTCAGAAGGTTCTATAACACTCACATCTCCTTTTCCATCGATTTACAGGCTGGTGTTTGAACAAGACATTGCTGGCGTCAAGACCTCTTATCTTGGTGACTGTGAAGGTAGGCGTCCATTCCTGGTCCAAACATGGCAGAGCTAGCAAGAGGGGTGCTGGGCAAGGGTGGTGCAAATCTTGCTATTGAACCCCCATT